AAAGATGCTAGGGAAACAAAATGGACTTGCTTGAATTATGGTGCTGGAGGAGAGCTTTGCAGATACTCTGGATCGCCAGAAAGATGAACAAGTGGGTCCGAGAGCAAAGCAAAAAATGGAGGCAAAAATGCTGAAACAGAGGCTTTCCTACTTCGGGCACATCAGCAATTATGAGCTGAGAAACAACACTCTAAGATTAGGGGAGTCTGATCCTGCTGAACTGGAAGGTTCACTCCCATCCTCTGGCCAGCTATACTAGTGGAACCCTCAAGTGACAGAAAACATGTCAGATTGCCAGATCGGTCCAGCATCTAAAGAACTTGGGTCTGACTTCCAGAGATTCCACTTTGGTTACTTACGTACTTTAGGATACACATCATGTGTTTTTGCCAGAAATGTGCTTGAAGCGATAAGGGTGATCCAGAGCCAAGACGGAATGGAAAACATGCTTTTACCATCAGATAACACGTGAAATGGCCCTGGGAAGGTCAGGGAAACCCAATTGCCTTCTTGTTTATAGATAAAGATCAAGTGAGATTATTACTCATAGAGACTGGAAAAGATCAAAAGTCCCCAGATCTCACGCACCCACTCTTTCCAAAGCAGGTTCATCCACCTGTGAACTTATCAGCCATCGTCTCCTCTCCAGCAAATACACCCTACAGTTCGCCACTAAAATAGATAGATAAGAAGTAGACGTGCCACACAATAGGGCAACCAGCTGTTGTTACTTGAAGCAAACAAGGCAGATAATGCAATCAAAAGCAACCTTTGCTTCCAGGTTACTAGCTCTCTTACACCGAAAGGTAGCATGCTGGAACTAAAGCTGTAGGCCAGTCAGATCAATGAACTCTTCCCTTTCTTTCCACAACCTCATGCCCTCCACACCTTTTGGACTGCCATTCCCATCAAGCGCTGGCTGTATGGCCAACGCTAAGACATGACGTGTTCAATGGTTTAGGCATCTGGCCACGGACCCAGAGGTTGGGAGTTCAATTCCCCACTGTGCCTCCTTGACATGGGTTGGACCCAATGATCCATAGGGTTTCTTCCATCTCTGCAGTTCTAAGATTATAATAATTATTATTGGGGTTGTAGCCTAAAGCAGTTGGAGAACAGTAAGTGGTGAAAAGCTACTTTAAAATTTGCTCAGCTAAAGAGATGAGTGCCCGTCTCTGCAGTTCTAAGATTATAATTATTATTATTGGGGTTGTAGCCTAAAGCAGTTGGAGAACAGTAAGTGGTGAAAGGCTACTTTAAAATTTGCTCAGCTAAAGAGATGAGTGCCCAACTGGCAAACACAATTGTTAAATAAAGAGTAAAACATCACACCTTCTGTGTTTATTTCCAGTATGTAAATATTTGCTTACTCTGCAAGTAGACACCACAGAGTGGCAAGTAGCCAATAGGTAATCTGATCATCTTTACATGTGATGAACATAACAGATATAACCATAATTATGCACTTGCCCTACTCAAAAGTTCTGTTTACAATGAAGTTTACATTGCTCTTTTTAACTTGGATGGCAAGGCTGTTGCCGTTAAACACTGTGCCAACCCCACCGCAAGAAGCTGAAATTCTACACTGGCATCTCGCAGCAGACGTCTGCAGCTGAAATGTCACTTTACTGAGAAACACATACTAACAGGAGTTTGGAAAAGTTACGTTTTAGATGACAGTTCTCAGAAACCCTCACCCAGCATGTCCACTGGCCATATTGCTTAGCGAACTCTGGGCGTCCTCATGGGTAAAAAGGAGACCTCCCCAGTAGGATTATTAGAGGTTGCTGGATTCAACCAAAAGATCCATCTGGACCAGTATTCTGTTTACTTCCTCAGTCAAAAAGACAACCGTGTGATAGAGATGGCTCATGAGGAGCCAGCCTTACTCAAGGAAGCATCTTTCTTCCACAATTGCTTCCCAGCTACTGGTGGTCAGAAGCTCCTGTATGGGAGTTCTATCCCGCCATCATGGTTAGCACTCCCTGTTAGATTTATTGACTGCAAGTTTTTCTGATTATCCTCTAAAGCCGACTAAATGAGTTGCTATCATTACAGTTGTGTCGTTGAAGTCCATACGTTTATCATTATCTTCGCAGAACTGCTGGATCAAAATGTAGTATGCTTACTAACGGTATTATTCAATGCATGTGAAGAGTGCAACATCTCACTACCGTATTTTAACATGTATACAACCCTCCCAATGTATAAGACGAACCCCAATTTTGATCTTTGCCAGAGGGGGAGCAGCCAATGGGCCGCAGGGAGGGGTGACCCAGTACGTCTGCGCCTCTGCCTACTGCTGATGCTGCTGTCACCACCTGATCACCCTCCTCCAGTACCAGTGCTGGGGCTCACCTCCAGTTCACATCGCCGCTTTGTCCCCTGCCCAAAGGGAGCCTGCAAGTGGCGCTATGGAGGCAATGTGGAGGTGGCGGCAGCAGTCAATGGGCAGCTGCGCAAGGTGTCTGAGCCTACGCCTCTCGCAACTGCCCAACTGCTGCCACTGGATCACCTCTTCAGTGCCACTTGCGGGCTCCCTTCGGGCAGGGGACAAGCCTCTCACAACTGCCCGACTGCTGCCACTGGATCACTTCTTCAGTGCCACTTGTGGGCTCCCTTCGGGCAGGGGACAAGGTGGCAACGTGAGCTGGAGGTGCGCCCCGGCACTGGCTCCTTTGCCTCCGCCTCCTTCCGTGTATAAAATGACCCTCAATTTTTCCTCTAATGATTTTAGGGAAAAGTGTCATTTTATACATGGAAAAATACAGTAATTAGAGACCGGATTAGATGCAATCAGCTCCTGCCCGTACAGCAACCTTTAATCCACACACTCAGTCCACACTTGCAAGATTTTTCATGATTTTTGTTAAAGACTGGATTAGATGCAATCAGCTCCTGCCCATACAGCAACCTTTAGTCCACACACTCAGGCCACACTTGCAAGATTTTTCATGATTTTTGTAAAGGTTACAAAGAAGATGTACACCAGCTACTTTGAATGCTAACCATACCTTCAAAAATTGCACTGCACAATCATTATTGATTATTATTAACTCTTGGAAGAGAAATCCCTAGGATAGCAGTCTTGCGTTGCAACTACATGGTCATATATTACCTGTTTATAAAACAGGTAAATTTGAAGTCGTTTTTACTGACCACATGACTCAAAAGCTGTAGTTTTTACTGACCACATCACACTTCAAATCTAGCCCTTTCTGCTCCCAAAGTGGCTTCTTTTCCTCTGCTGCTGAGAGGGGGCTTCTACTTTTTTGAGCCAGAACGATTTGAACAGGCTTTTCCCCATGTAGTTAGCTGTGATATGTTCTTGTAAAGACAGAGTGTGTCTCTGTAGGTGGTATTGTGGTGATGTAGGCAGTTGGGTGTGATGCTCAGGACTGGGGGAACATGACCCATGTTCTTTCTTCTCCCCCAAATTGTCTTCTGAATGTTCTTTTTTTATTTTTCAAAATTTCTTACATATATGAGATTAGCACTAGGTCATCCTGTCATTGGGCCATCATTATTGTTATTTCCCATATTTATGCCCCCATCAAAGGGTTGGCAGGATCAGGACTAGAGGAAGGAAAGAGGGGGTCTGTGTGCTGGCATGCAAATCACAGTGTATATAGTATGAACAGTGTACTCCCAATTAGAGATGTACACAAAGTGCCGGTTTGACGATTTGGCATCATTTGCTTCCTGGCTAAACAGCTGATCCACACCTCCTCCAGCAAGGGCTCACTTGCTGGAGGGGCACGCCACCAAACCACAGATCAGCTGTTCGGTTGGAAAACGAACCACCGAATCAGCGGTTTGTGCCCATCTCTACTCCCAAATCAATCCACAGCTCCTGTGTAAGCACCTAGTGCGCTTTCAGCTGTAATACAGGCTGCAAATTAAATTGAACTGGAGTGATTCGGATTTCCAGTGTAGCCCTTGGTGAACTTACCTATCTAGACTACAGATGCCAGAATCCCCCAGCCAGGAGCATCACTGATGGCAATGCTGGCTATAGAGTTCAGTAGTCCAAAGAGTAGTTTTCCCAAACTTTTGAATAACGTACATGTGTTGACTGATATTAATAAGTCTTCTCCGAGCCCACAATTATAGTGGGTCTACTCCAAATCAGCCTAAATATGGATTCAACTAGGAGTATTCCTCACAGTGAACTGGGGGGGGGAACCATTCCAGAATCCATGCCCAACAGCAGGTGGAATCTCATAAACTGGGTAAGGCTTTTTCCCTTTTCTGTGCTGGGGAAGGAGAGGCTTCAACTCTACAATTTTATCCTTCTCTGCTAATCTGCACCCAGTCCCTTGATGTGCATTCTTCTAAAGCACATCTGCATCCTGCGGGATCAGTTGAACTCTTCTTGCTCCGTTTAGTCTAGTTTCAGCAGGGCTGTGTTTCTCCTTGCGAGGCCATTACCTCCAGATCAGTGCAACCAGACAATGCATCACCGAGAGGGTGCACTTCCCTTAGCTGTATCAAAGAAGACATGTCGCTCGGGCATGCACACCCAAGGAAAGCTGTTGGTTTGTGCAGACGCTCACGGCTTGGAAAAGTCACATTTCTGGACCCCAACTCCCAAAATCATCCTGGGCAATTTGGAAGCTGCTGGCCAAAGAAGAGGATTTTTTTCCAACCTCTGCCTTTAAACCCAGCCGACTGACTTCCATAAGCGATTCACTCCAGGCAGAATAAAGAAGTGGGGGGGCTTCCTGGGACTGGTTTACCGGCCAGTCCTCCCCCAGGGAACATGGGATCCACTTTCAGACCTTTTTATCTGTTTAGCTCAGTAACTGCTGTGGGTTCTTGAAAGCGTAATCTCTTTTCGCTGGACCTATCAGGACTGGTCCGCATGGCAAACCTGCCCTCTTTGCCATCATCCCTCCCATCTGTTCCTGCCTGCAAAGACTCTCTCCCCCCCTTTTTCCTCTTCCCTCTAGTGACATTTCTGCCAGGGGGGAAAAAAAGGACACCCAACGCCCTCCTACCGTAACTGCTCTCCCGTAAGCAGGATCTCGGCCATGTGCTCCAGTTCCGTCGCCCTCTGCTGCAAGGCGCCCAGGCTGCTTTCTTCCATGGCGACCACCCTGGCCGGAGACACAGAAGAGCCCAAAAAGGTTAATCATGAGAGCAGGAAGATCTGTTGGGCAGCTAATCCGGCCTTCAAGCCATCAGCTCAGCCTGGAACCCCGTTCTGCCCATAGACACCCTCCCCCCCCCATATCCAACTGGCTGGCTCTCTTGCGCCTTCAAGCCCATCGTCGGGGGGGGCGCGCGTCCGTGTTCATAGCAATTTCTTCTCTCTTCCCTTCTCCCCGGGTTGGGTGTTTGTTTGCTTCTCGCATCC